GTAGCAGTTATTTGTATTTGGTACATTTTTTTATGTCCCCAGTTTCGAGTTGTAAAGATACCCTTTATTTCATTATCCTGGTTATAAAAACTATCCTTTAGAAGTCGAATTTGTATAATCAAAATAAATCATCAAATAAAAAAGGAAAACTGTTCAAAAAAATATATCTTTTATGTATGTATTTGCATTTATGTTCCTTCATAGTTCTTTCCTTAACTATATTTCATGTAATTTCTAAAATATTATCCTTAATATTCATCAAGTTTCTGTAAGTAACATATATTTTCCTCACACTTCGTCAGTATTTTTAAATTCGCGCCTATACAAACTCTACGCGTGACGTTATGCGCGTGGCCGTCCTATTTTTGACACTGTTGATATCCTACCTTTTATTTTTTATACCATGGTATCCACCCAATATTCCCACCAGAGAGTCAAAATTTCCACCCAATGGGGAAATTTCCACTCAAACGGCAACACTGGCTATAAGGGCATTAAGTCATCCTTATTAGGACTCTTCAGCAATAAATGGAAATTCTCGACTCCAATCTCTAATAGAGTGTGATATATTTATATTTATAGTGGATATAGAATACACCTTAAAAAAATTAATTTTAAATATCTGAACGGTACTATTAGCCACAATGGCGAGCACAATGGCGTAATTTTTTAATAATTTGCTATATAATTACTATTATTTATGGACATTTGCATGTCTATAAATTACATTTCATGGATATAAAATAGATATCCACCATGGACTGGACATTCAGTGGATATTGGGATGTTCATTAGATATCCAAAGGATTTGGTGTGCTGTCTGGGCAGGCAAGGGCGGCTAAGAGACGAATTTTTGGTAGGGGCCATTGCATTTAGCCATTCACTTTTTAGCATATTTTTTGAATAAAAGGCTCATAAATCGTAAGAATTTTCATCTCGGGAGGGCCATGGCCCCCATAACCCCCCTGGAGCCGCCCTTGCTGCCAGGTAACAATAGCGCGCTTAGACCGGGCAGGTATTTTCTGATGCGTTGAGTCATGTATGAGGCGGGGTTACTCAAACCGCTGTATCTTCGTTAGTTTTGCGCAGACTCATTTCAAACTTTCATACAATATTCTTGAAAGGTTCTCCATTCACAAAATCAAATATAAAAAAATGCAAAAAAAAAATTTAAAGGAATGCGAAATAATTAAAAACTAAATGACCCAAAAATTGACTTTGCTAATAACCCGAGGTTATGAGAAGTTCGTCGAAAATATTTCTTCGGTTTAGACACAGTAGATAACACAGCATTTAACCATTGTTCAAAAGTCTTTAAGAATAAAAATCAAAATGCACAGAAACTTTGTAATTCACAAAAAAATTGCAACAGAATAATGGCAATTAAACGTCATAAAACGATATCGTTCGTCAGCAAGGTATCCATTTTCCATTCTGCCCCTCTAATTCTATGAGTACGATGGAAAAATCGCTTCAGTCCGGAAGATCTAAACACTATATATAATTCATAAATAAAGGGACATAATAATTAATCTTATATTAATTCAAATATCGTCGTTGTAGAGTGAAAACTACGTGTGTGAAAATTGTTTTATTGCATCTTAGCACACAACCTCTCGAAACACTTTAATGTAGAATAACCTGTAACGGCTTTATATTTTCAAGGCAATATTACAAAGGTAAATCGGTTTTTATTTGCTGTTAAAAAAATCCATTTCAGACATACGTGTTTTTCACTTTACAGAGACTGCTTAATCATTAAGCAGTTCTCTACATGACAAATATAGATTAACAAAAAAGAGGCTTATCTTAGTAATATATGGATTGCTTAGCTCAAAGGAAAAAAATCCGTAGAATCACCACCTGAAATATTTGCTAATAATTTATATTAAACTTTTCAAACATAAATAAAATTGACTGAATCTTTGGTAAATACATTTATTTTATATACATACATTATTTGCATCAAAAAAATAAAAGTTATAATACTTTTTCATAATTTTCAAATATAAGTTAGAAATGCTTGACCCTAAGGCTAAAATAATCTTAATTCAAAAATATCAAAATTATTGTCGCAAAGTTATTTTTATTCAAAAACGTCAACTACTCATAAGGTCATCCTCGAGTTGAAAATAAATCTACAGAAATCAAGATATGTACGTACCTACCTTAAAGTTAACATATTGCTTCAGAAAATTAAAATTTGTAAAATAGTTATTTCTGTAGCATGTTAATAAATAACAAGAAAGTGTCCTAGTTGCCTGCTTCTGTCGCCAACTTAGGATTTGGAATTATTCCAAGAAAAAAATATTGATCAAATTATCATTATTCCTGTTGAAAAACGAATTCTCATCGTTTTGTCTTGCAAAGCAACAATAAACTTAAAGAAATATTCGAAATGGACTCCGTTGACCTTACTATCCAATAAACAGAAACATAATGTGTCAAATAATAAAACAATATGGATAAATAATGAAAAACTTGAAGTAGAAGAATTCTGGTAGATGGTAATTTTACAGAAGTTGTTTAGGTTTTTAAGTAACAACCAATATCAGAGCTGTTATCTGTTATACTATACAAAGTTGGGAAAAATTGGCAGAATGCCAGATTTATGGCTTTATTTGACAAGTAATAAATCCTGTTGACAGGTCTTTTTTTTTTTTTATTCCAGGCGTAATTTTATGAACGCAACTATTAGAGATATAACGCCATCATCAGGTTTTAAGCCTTGTTTGATAGTAGATACCAATTAAAAGAGCATATTTTTTACATAGGAACGTCAAATTTCGTTAAATGTTGCATAACAATATATTGAGATTTTTTTTGTACTACTGATAACAATGTAAGTAGTGAATATCAAATATGTATTTCGAAAATATTTGTATGTACGAATTATAACACAAAATTTAGAATCTTTATTCAAGAAAATGTGCTATTTAAACACAAAATTAGGATTTTTATTATTAATTTATATTATTACAAAACAAAGTGTAAGAAAATGCAAGTTTTCCAGACCAAACTAAAGCCATACAATACTATGAAAGAGAAATTTTAAATCGGCAAGTATCAGCACAACTGTTGCCATCTACTCTGATAGCCAAGCAGCTCTAAAGGCAATTCTCTCACCAGAAATCAAATCATGTTTGGTAAACGACTGCCTAGAAGATCTGACAAAGCGAAGTAGTCAATACAAAGTGATCTTAGCCTGGATACCAAGCTACGAAGGACATCAGGACAATGAAAAGGTAGAAGAATTAGCCCAAGACTCAGATAAGGCCATGTCAGATGCTGAACCCTTCTGTATAGTTCCTAAGGCATTGTGCAAGGTTCTCATCAAACAATGGATGCAAAAAAGTTTTAAGAATGGTGGAACAACTAATCAAGATTGAGACAGGCCAAAGAGTTCATTAAGGAATCGTCCGCCAAGTTTACGAAAGATTCTAACACTAGGCGAAGAAAAGCCAGAAGCATGTAACTACATGCAGGAACCACTGTCAATGCTACTAGTCTTATAAAACCAGGCTAGACGACACATTCTAAATTACGGAGGTCCACAATAGATCTGAAAAGGTCGCGGTGGGTAAAGACAAATTTCCTTCTTTTTGTACCTAATATATTATTATACAGTGTCAGCCACTGAATGCTTTCCAATATGCCTTATTACAAGTGCATGTGAAAACTACTAGGTTAGCATTAGTGCGATGAGGAAACGAATATTATCAGCGTTGCCAGTTTATACGGCTCGACCGCGTTGATATTTTCTAGATGAAGACTGGACAAGAATTTTTGATTTCAGACTAGAAGTTTACGCAGCGTTCTCAATTTTTTTCAAACAAAGGAGATCAGGATATTGGACTAACATATCAATTTTTATCTTTATAAGGTTTTGTAATATTTGTTTCCCGAAAATACTGGCATGTAACGTATCATGAAATTTGGTGTCTAAACGCGAAAAAATGTGTTTTGTATTTTCATAAAATGATATTGACATTAAAAAAAACTTATAACTACCCGCCCAAGCATTTTTTGTAACTTGTCCAATAAAGGCAGAAATTTAGCGGGCCTCCCATTTTGCCCAATAATGTATGTAGAAGAAACGTGGAAGTGCCAAAAATGATATTTTTTTAGAAAATCCAAGCCTTCACAAACAGTAGAATGATCTACAGAATTTTCGGGCTCCATAAATTCACAAATGAAGATCTACTTTGGAAATTACCAAAAATTATTTCACCAAAATTTTCTATTTTTACGATTTCGATGATTTCAGCGAAATCACCCATGGTTCTACAGGGTTGTCCAGTTTATATAGTCAGAATTTCACTAGAACCAAGAACTAAAGGTGTTCTGTCCAATAAACTATGATCAAATTTTGCTTTCTTTTTTAAGAATAGGGTTCAGGTATTCAGAAAATTTTATTTTTTTGTTGAATTTTTAGTTAGTTGAATACCGAAATAATAGACAGTAATTTAATGTGAAGAATGTGTGAAGAATGTGTGAAGAATGCTGACAGAGATGCCATATAGGCAATTGGAACATATGCCCACCACTGAAAAAAAAAACCTGTCCCATAACCTCCAAAAAATTTTCCAAACTTTGGTACAATGACAGATGATAGCATTCTTCGCACATTAAATTACTGTATATCATTTCGGTATTCAGTTTTTTTTTTATTATGAAAAATTAAAAAGAAGTGCATAAAACTGATCGAAGTACCCAGTGAGCATGACTCTGGAATTACTGGATCAAAAAAAGAAGTGCATAAAACTGATCGAAGTACCCAGTGAGCATGACTCTGGAATTACTGGATCAACTGTAACATGTCAAAAAAAAAACACCTAATAAAATTGTCAACAAACTGAAAATTTTATTAAAATCGGTCGTCAAAGCCTTTTGGTAATTAAAAACTTAAAAAAAAATTAACACCCTGTACATCAAAAACAAAATTGGACGATAAAATATTGACTGGTAAAATCCTGACAATATAAACTCGATGGCAAAACCCCCTTTTTTGTATAAGATTCTCAGATGCTCCGGGTCACAATGACCGATTCCCCATATCTGATTTCAACGTGCAAAAAGTATTGATTTTGAAGCGATTTCTGTGATGATATTGGGATTTCATTGACGATATCGGTATTTCAGTGGCGATTTCAAAATTTCGGTAGTAATTTCTGGAATTCCTTGATGATTTCGGATACTTCGAGACATTTATGATTTCGAGTGAAAAGTACTAGTATTTTGGGAGGGCATACCTAAAGGAAACCGGCAACAGACATTAGATGTGTAAATCACATTCATGTAAAAGATCTGTAAAAAGATAATTCAATAAACAAGAATGAAATGCTAAAAAAAATCAGTTTGCTACACTTTGGGGAGAGAGGTTTACGACTGAATGTAATTAATTATGCTACTATTTACAATCTATATAATATGCTATATTAGTGGTGACATAATTTGTGTTCCAATGACAAATAACAGTACTTATTTAACTTTTTGAGTGCGTTTTGTTCGTTTTATTTATGACTAAATTATATAGTTTTTAAACTTTTCTAAATATATGTCTAAAGTAAACAAATAACATATGTCATCAAGTATGGTCTGTTTTTATTAAAAGTCATTGGAACACAAATTACGACACTAATACAGCTTATTTCTTTGATAATTTAATTTCGTCCTGATGACGACCTTATAGGTCAAAAAAATTTTATTTTTGAATTAAACAAAATTGGACTATTAATATTGCGTTTTTGAATTAATACCATATCGAGTCACGTTTATGATCGGATAACCTACTTTGCTCAAAATAATCTTATTGGTGCCATTAAATAAATTAGAAGTCTTTTATTTAAAACTAACTTAAAAATAGAAAGAAAAAATAAACTGAACACTATACAAAATGGGCAAATAAAATCAAAACTGATTTTATACATACATATTTTTTGTTTTATTGTATAATTTCCACCAAACTCATAATTTTTGGACTAATAATGGTTGAATCAAAAAACAAATTCTACGTTCAAAATTTTTGTTGCATTACTTTTCTCCCTTTTGACAGTTCGCGACGTTAAATGTCAGACGAAAAGTCAAAAATATTTAATGGAAGAATATCAAGGATGCCGCCTGTCAAATGTCAGATTGCACGTCAGAAATATCTCTGTAGTGCCCGCTTAAGAAACACTAAGATTAAACATAAGATTCAACTATGATGGATCATGTGGGTGAAACATTGCTTCGCTGTATTCTTTGCTGTTGTTCCTTTTTGCATTCTTCGCCGGTGTGCTCGAGTTGTTCTTTTAGCATTAATAATTCTCTTATCCTCTGATAAACTGGATCCTTTAAATAAAAAACAAACAAAAAATTACGTCAGTTTACAATTTAGTGATAACAGGCGCCTATACATTTTGTTTCTTTAACTTTTAAATAATAAGACTTTATTTCAAAAAAATAAGTACAATAAACAAAAAAAAAATTTAAATTGCACAGCCAACTGTGGGGAAGTCTAGCTGAAGCTACTCCCACTCAACCACAATATATGATAAAAAAATTATTTTGTGTTCTGTATAGGCGTTGTTACTGTTTCCCAGCGCCACTTTAGTAACAGTACTGTTAATTAGAACCCAACAGTGAATGGTCGAGTGATCCTACCAAACATCAGAATTAATTTTAAATAATTAAATTAAATAAAAAAAATCCCGGCCAACGGTGGGATTCGAACCTGGGACCCTTGGATCCACAGACAGAGCCTCTACCGTTGAGCCACACACCCAATAAAAAAATTATTAATTTCTAAAGTAATGGTTAGAAAAATAAAGCACTAAAAAATAGTTAAATAAAAATGAAAATAATAATAATTAACAAACAATAGTAATAGAATAAAATAACAAAAAAAGAATCCTCCTATTAATACATATTAATTATCAAATAATATCATAGGCGAATTGACAGTCCACAAAATTATTTTCTGTTTATCAAGAATAATAATAATTCTCTCCCTTAAGAGTGAATTTTAACCCCAAAAGCTGAGCTTGTGCGGGGAAAGGGACGGCTATTATTATTATTTGCCGTGGCACTTCGGGGCGACTTAAAGATGACGGTGCCATTTGAGGAAAACCTCACCCACCATCATTATTATTAAATACCTCTGGCGAAGAGTTATATAATTTAATAGTAAAATATATCAAAAACATGACTGTTCAATGTTTAGGTATAGAGAATGTATTGCTATTACAAATATTTCTACTAATAAAGGATTCTATCCACGAAATTCCCTCTATAAAATTTAAAACGGTTGTTCACATTACATATTTAGTCAATTATAAATGGTTATTACCTGTGTTCTCATACTTGGATTCCACCTGCAATAGTACGCCTTCCATAATTTTATATGCCTTATACTCGCAATTGGTATTAAAACTCGTTGTTGTAAAGTATTTGCCCAGTATAAAGGATTTCTATATAAATTTAAGTTGCTATTTGTGTACGACCATAAAGAAACAGTCTGCTCTTTCACTTCTGAAAAGTAAAACAGTTCTAATCATTTTATTGAGTATACACTGAAGATGCTAAGTTCCTGGTAATTTAATTATTTATACAATTAAGCAAAGTATACAATTTGAGTTAAGCGGGTAAACAGGATAATGGGACATTCTCTTGGGAAAATGAAATATACAAGGTGTCCGAGAATGTCGTTCGAATAATTTCAGGGACGATTCTACATAAGAAAATATGAACATTTTTTCGTATAAATATCTTAATTATGCTTCACGTCCTTGTTAGTGGAAATAAAAATAACCATGTAGTATACCTATGTTACGCCGCTGACCCACATGTTCAGATTTAAAATTTATTCTATATCGCTGACTGCCTAAATTACTCATTACCAATGTTTGTGTCGCGTGATTCACATCGTTCAGACCGACTATACATTTCCAGCGATTATAAAAACATGAGTAAAAACTATCGAAAACGCAAATCGTCTCAGAAATATGATAAATTAAAAAAGAAATGAAGAAATTCAGAGCACAGGTAAGAAAATAATAATTTTCTTTTTATTTAACTGATTTTTAGCTTGCAGAAGATACCACTTTATGTGTAAATTTCTGCATTTAGACGACAAATAAATATACAGAGGATACTACTTTATGTGTTAACGGTGCAGTCATTCATAAAATCCGTCTTCAAAACGAAAAATGCTACTTAATGTGCAAATTTCGCAAAACCTTGATGAGGGTGTAAATTCTGCATTATAGACAAAGACATGTACATAGGAGGCTAGTTTATGTGTTAACTCTGGTCTTATACTAGTACAGGTTTCAGAATGTTTTTCTTTATAATTTAATTGATTTTTAGCTTGCAGAAGATACTGCTTTACTGTAAATTTCCGAATTTAGACGACATATAAATATACAGAAGATACATCATTCATATAAGCCGTATGCAGAGCAAAAGATGCTGCAAATAACAAATATATGTACAGAGGAGGCTACTTTATGTGTTAACTCTGATCTTATACTTATAAACTGTAAACTCGGCTAAATGCAACTTGAAAAATCTGATGTGTCCAACACATGACTTTCCTATCTAGTTATTACAGGCTTTTTCCGGTTATTTTGTACAACCTATTGCAGCATCTCTATAAATGTTTAGAGGATAAACTAAATATATACATTGTCCACATACATCTACCGCGAAACATTTTTCTATAGATATTCATTGAAAATGAAAATACTGAAAAATTTAAATTTAGCACTTTTCCTACAATTTTTCCATTACGGTTCATTTTAAAAAAATCATGTATGAACAAATATTATAGAGATCGATATCGCAAACAACTTTTATTTCAACAATTTTCATAAAAATCAGAATTTTGCACATTTTGTCAAATTTTTCGAATACGGACCATTTCAGGAAATTTTTACATAAAGCAAAAATTATAGATAATAATATTAGAAGTAACTTTTAATTGAACAATTTTTTTCTCCAAACATAAATAACAGATATATTCCAAAAAATATAAAAACGGCCTCCCATAAAGTACCCCCCCAGATGTTCCGACTTTGTCCAAAATCTAATCATTTCACGTCAGGCCGCACGTCACGCACGCACACACACGCACGCTCGCACGCACACGCACACCCACACGCTCACGCGCACACCCACGCGCACACACACACGCACGCACCCACGCACCCGCACACGCACAAGCACACGCACACGCACCCGCACGCGCACGCACACACACACACACAGACATCATCGCAAAAATAGTCAAAACGGACTCAGGGGACCTATACTTTCCTTATATCTGTATACAGATAGGAAAGTAAAAATGCTACTTAATGTGTAAATTTTGTAAAACTTTGGTAGAGAAGATACTATTTTATGTGTAAATTATTTAAGCCAAATAAATGTACAGAGAAGGCTACTTTATGTGTTAACTCTGAACTTATACTTATAAACTGCAAACTCGACTAACTGCAACTCGACTAACTGCAACTCGAAAAATGCTACTTAATGTGTAAATGTTGTAAAAGTTTGGTCAAGAAGATATTGTCTTATGTGTAAGTTCTGCATTTAACCCAAATAAATGTACAGAGAAGGCTACTTTATGTGTTAACTCTGATCTTATTGTAATGTGAGCCATTTCATTATTCAGTCTTGCTCTAATATTCCAAGTCCCTCTCTGTATTATTTGGCCTTTGAGGCTCAACTTGTCCGCTTATTATACATAATTAAACCCCTTAAGACCAAACCTATGGGACGATATGGTGGAAGTGCTTTCGATGATGTTCGAGAAAGAACGAGATAATGTTTCTAGTGTATTGGAGAGAATATGTGAACTTACTAGAACATTCGCCAATTTTTTAACTTTGTATATAAATATTGGTGGATGAGCCATCAGAATTAGTTATTATATGGACAGTGAAGATAAATAGTAATTAGTAGATAGACAGTGGTGAATATAAATAGTGAACGATTCAGACATTCAAAATATATATAAATTAAAATAGTAGTGTTATAAAATAAATAAGTGTTTAAATAAATTATTTACAAATAAACTGTTGTTTTAAAGTAAACAAACATCACATTATACTTATATTTATTCGGCTAATTGCACCGCGAAAAATGCTAGTTAATGTGTAAATTTCGCAAAACTTGGTCAAGGAATATACTATTTTGTCTAAATTCTGCATATTATTGCAAAATAAATGTACAGAGAAGGCTACTTTATGTATTAACTCTGATCTTATACTTAGCCCAGCTAATCGCAACGCGAATAATTCTACTTAATGTGTAAATTTCGCAAAACTTTGGCCACAGAAGATATTTCATATTAAAATTCTGCATTATAAACAATGTAAAATGCTACTTAAAGTGTAAACTTCGAGAAACTTTGGAAGCAGAATGTAGGTACTATGTAAATTCTGCAGTATAGACAAATAAATGTACAAAAGAGGCTTCTTTTTCTGGTAACTCCGGTCTTATTCTTATAAAATGCAAGGACGCAAAAATGCTATGCAAAGCTCATTGATTATTTTACTGTATAGGTAAATCCTACACCTTAAAAAATACCTCTTTATGTGCACATGAATAAGCCATTGATTAAATATAGATTTAAGTTTATTCAGAATCAGAATCTAAGAAGCATATACATTAAATTCGTCATCTTCACCAGAACATAGACGTTCGAATAGCAAGGATCAAATTCAGTATCAGGATATTCTGGGAGCGGATCCTAATAGCAACACCTCTCTCGGAAAACCAATCAACGAAGAAATGGTAAAAAGTTGGGAAAATATTTGCAAGACGGTTTGGAAAATGGCAAAATATCAAAATTTCTCTGTGAAATCAAAATCTGGAATACTTTCACTCGGATCCCCCACCTTTAACCCCGAACCAAAAAGTTTGGTGACTAGTCACGTCATCAAATTTAACCGACAGCTATTTATAAATGCTGCAAGAACAACTTGAAAGGTGATGGGAAGTTTAGCTGAACCTCTGTAAGCTAGGCTTGGAGGGAACAGAAATAGATACATCAAACCAAATGCAAATGTAACAAAAGTATTACCAAATATCTACCATAGAATATATGCATCGTAGGCACCTTATATATCCGTCTTTAAACACAAATATGAAAAATATGATCGAAAAAGCAAATATCGATGGTTTTTCATTTTGGAAAAAATCTTGTAGAGATATGGAAGGCAGACAAAGCAGTTGAAAAAACTGACATATATTTAATTTAAAGGCACCAACTAAAAGCAAACAACAATTTCAAGCAGTGTTTAAACTTCAGACGCCTACTTTTAAATAGCGACTGAAGAACCAGGCCAAAGAGCAGGAAAAATACAAAACCCAAAGGACGAACCAACAAGTATTCAGAAAAACAGAGAAGGGAGAAGGAGTTATTAGGGAAAGAAATAAAGGTAAGAGAGATTGCTGGTAGACTGAATAAATTTGTAAAACATGAGGGCTAACTTAACTAATGATAAGAAGGTCCTAAGATATGTTAAAGGTTTTAAATTAATCTTTAAAACACAAAACAGCTTTCACCAAAGGATGTTTTCTGTTAGAGAAAAACTAACTTACACACTTCAATTAAAAAAAAAAACTTGTACTAAAGAATGCAAAAGGTGTTTGCTTGCTAAAGAAAATATGTTTGGTTCTCATATTTTTGAAGACCCAAAGGAAATGATTCATCTAGATTCATCTTTAACAAATATATAGATCCTCCCATTTCAAACTGGAAGATCTCATATCTGCCCAGAATATTTTGTTACAGGACAATTTTATGTCAAAAATTAAATTAAATGATGCCTCTTATCTCATCACGATACATAAAAAAATCAGGAATTTGAGTGTCTTATATTTGGTTTGACCTTTTGCTCCATGTTTTTTGCAAACACTTTAAAATCGGTAGTGCATCAACTAAGGCTTTTGGAAATAACCTTAATGATTTTCTAATTACATCTAAATCTATTGATGAATGTCTCAAACAATGTAATACAACGGTTAAAATTCTTTACAATCTCTATGACTCAACATAAAAAAAATAATTAAAAAGTGTTTTTATCTAGTGTGCGAGAACTCGATTGTTACGTAGTTGATGTACTAAAATTAAAAAGACCAAGCAGAAGGCATAGTGATTGTACCAAAATGGGAAACTCAACCATCCCATGTTACAAAAAAAATGCTTTTTACGGTGCATGTCAACATTAAACCTAGTTATTTACTGCAGCAAACCTTCATTTAGAACTCCTTATAACCAGAGTTCTGCCCTAGCTCTCATTATAAATAGTCTAAATAAAAAAAATTGTTTAAAGATTAATTTATTAGTATTATTATTGTTAATTTTGTGGAAAATTTATAGTAATATTTTTTTTGCATATTATATTGTATACATTTACGTAGAAAGCAACAATCTAGTTTTATTTTGAATAGAACATCCTCTAAACAACTACATGGTTATCTTTATTTCCACTAACAAGGATGTGAAGCATAATTAATTGATCAAACGACTTACCTGAAGGAAGTTAGATCCTAATTATGCGAATCCCACCTCCAGCATATTAGTTTATATTATTTTTAACCCCAAACTCCTAGGCTCCACAACAGGTAATGAGTAATTTAGGCAGGCAGCGATATATAATAAATTTTAAATCTGAACATGTGGGTCAGCAACATAACATAGGTATACTACATGGTTATCTTTATTTCCACTAAAAAGGATGCTCGCATAATTAGGATCGAACTTCCTTCAGGTAAGTCGTTTGATCCAATAATTGTATTTGGTTAAAAAATGATTCACCATCATTCTTTTGTAGATACTTCCAATCAAATATTTCAGAAAATTGTTATATTTGATTGCCCTACTACGGTTTTTTTTTAATAGCAATAAAAATAAGGGACATGTGCAGTGTTGCCGATCTGATTTTTTTTACCCTAAGAAAATTTGACGTTTTTACCCGTTATCCTTAAAGGAGTCCGTCAAAATTTTACCCTCAACATTTCTTGTCAGTTTTCAATAACAATAACGCTGTTCAATGGGGCATGTTCAAAAATTTTGAAATTTTTTTTATGAATAGTAGAGTTAAAAATAAAACTACATTTTTTTTATTTTTTTTTTTATCTATTCATTTGCCGGAGTTATGAATTTTTTAAAAATTTATGACGTCACCGGGAATAGACCAATAGGAGCTAGCGCACAACGTTGCCGGCTAGAAGGTTTACGAGAAGTGATGTACGTTCGTTTGTGTACTCCTTCTTACTTTTAGACTTCTAAAACATCGTTAAACAAATATCTTTTAAATATATAATATCAAATGTGTTTTGAAAGTATTATTTCTGTTTAAACTTTTACCATATTTAACGTTTCATTGTTTTCAAAGTCACTTAATAATTCAGAAAATGGCAAAATGGCAGCACTGTGTATGGCATCTGTCATCATAGTGTCTCGATCAAGAATTTATTTGGAATTTGAGTGTTTAATTTTGTACTTTTTATAAATATTATGACTACGAAAAAGTGTTTTGTTCCAGAATGTGATAATGATTCACATTCATTTTCAAAAATATTTATTAGTGTTCCTAGAAATTTGGAAAGAAGAAAATCAACCTTCTACTAGCGATGTTTCTCGTAAACTTTTTAATAAAAATACACCGGATTATCAAGATATAGCAGCAATTTCTGCTAATTGTCCCCTTCAGGAAATTGAAAATTAGGCTACTATAAATTCTTAGGTGAATAACCTAAAAACCCTTCTGGAAGAAAATGCAGAATCTCCTGAAAGTTTTGAAGATACCGAATTTATTCTTCATTTTGTGGAAGAACTAGTGATAAAGAAATAATAGAAAAATGTGGGTATTTAAACAAACTGGTTCCTGGATCCCATATAATGGCAGATAGGGGTTTCAGAATATTCAGCTACTTGAAAACATGGGATGCACTTTAGTAAAGCCACACCTAGTGTATCACAGAATGAAAAAAGTTCTCCAGAAGATGTACAATTAAGTAAAAGAATCGAGAAAAGAATAGCATCTCTAAGAATACATGTGGAAAGAGTTAGTTAATTTAATTTAACATGTTAAAACCACATTCGTGTGTGAATTTTAAGCAAGTACATTTACTTAGTAATATCTGCATAATTGCTTGTTAACTTACAAGAACCTATTTTGTAAGAGTAAATATTAATTTAATAAATTTTTTTTGTTTGTTTTTTTAATTTAATTTACCTAATTATCACATTTCAGGGATTATAATGAGTTTTTAAACAGCCAATGTAATTTTTTATAAAATTTTAACTTTTCGAACAAATCAAAGAGGAATGAGTACCTGTATATGCATAGATTTTTTTGGGACTAAAACTACCAAAACAAAGGCACCTATTTACAGCAGTTTAAAATGAAACAATTTGACAAAAACGCCTATGTCACAGTGATAAATATTAAAAACAACCAAGTTCAGTTGAATGTGGTAGCAAAGTCTATATATTCCAATAAATCGGGTAACTACATGTGGTATCACTGGTGATAAATTTAAAAATATCACAATTCTTGCCACCTTTTTCAAAAAACCAGAAAGTGTGCCTTCATACCAATCCTTTATGAAAATGACAACAGTGATAAATGTGAAAAAAAAAATTTAATGTTGCTATTCATTATTACGATAGTAAAACATGTTTGCAGTTCCGTTTATTTGTTATGAAAATCTAAGTAAAAACAACCAATGTCAAAGGGTTATAATTTTTTTTCTGTCGAACCAAATATATCACAAAATTTAAAAACTCTTCAATTATTGTTTACAAACAAAAATATAAAAATCTGTGAAAATTTTATTTATTAACCTTTTAATAAAAAATGAAGTAAAAAAACAATTTATTTACAAATAAAAAATATATACAAATCCTAAGAATATAAAAGTACTGATATATTTTCCTGTAGTGGATGAAGAGGTTTCTTTAACAATCTAGCCAAGTGTACATCAATATTTACGCATTTTGATAAATTAGAGCCTTTCCAATAACACTGAGTAGATGTTACGAGATGGTTCCTCACTTCTTCTATGAAGCCACATATTTACAACCAACTGAAAAAAATAAAAGGGTTAGATATGCAGTTACAAAATAACTATATAACCAGCTACAAAATGCCTTTATTTTATGTAACAAGACGAGTAGAGCTTTACTAGCTCTGAACGAATCCAGTAAAGAACCTCGGATTTTCAAAACTTAAAAAAAAACAACCTCACCACATTTTCACATTTTTGAAATATTATAGAGCTTTTCAAAAAAAACTGCTATTTTTAAAAATACAATTTTTTGTTTAAACAGCTATGTCTCATTTTAGGCTATTGAGTATTATAAAATAAAAAATTACGGGATGCTTTGTTAGCTTCAAACGAATCCAGCAGAGCACCCCAGTTTTTTTTTAAACCACACCACGTTTTTTGGCTCCTACAATATTATAAAATATTCGAAATTTGGCATTTTAAAAAAGATTCGCAATTCCTTGCTGACTTCTAAAAACAAATGTACTTACCACATTTTTAGGATTTTAAAACAGCCTAAACATGTGTCATAAGTAGTTGTTTTTATATATATATATATATATATATATATATATATATATATATATATATATATATATATATATATATAAAAAAACAAATTAAAAAACTGAAGTGTCCTGCTGACTTTGTTCCAACAAAGCACCCTGTATTATTTAAAAATAGCAATTTTTTAGTAAAGTTTTACAATATTTCAAGAGTCTAAAAATATTCTAAAAATGGGGTGTGGTTTTTGAAAAAAGCTTTAAAAAAACCGAATTGCTCTGCTGGCTTCTTTCGAAGGTTAGCAAGCACCATGTATTTTTAAAAGTATAATATTTCAAGTTGCTGTTTTTACAGAAAAAACTTTATAAAACAGAGGTGCTTTGCTGACTTCGTTCGAAGCTATAGAGCATTTTAAGTTTTGCAAAAAACGAGGAGCATAACATTTTTGAAAAGGGTATAAAAATAGCCTATTCTTTGGTATCATAATTATTACTAGGTTCACTAACAAAATCTGTTTCTAGATTATTTTAACACTTGCTGCGATTACAAAAAATGTCTATATGTCAAAATTAGAAAAAAAATATTTATAGTAATAAAGGGCCTTATACACTGTTTATTATATGTAATATAAAACCAAAAAGCATAATAAATATTACAAACCTTGACATGCAGCATATTGTGCACTAAAATTTTCATTTTTGTTAATTACAACAACAACATCAGAAGGTTTTTGCCGTACTTTATGTTTAGGTGTAATTTGTCTCCTTGTCTCTTATGGAAAAAGAAATTATCCCCATATTCTTGCTTGGCAGATCTAAAAATAAAACCTGAGATAAATACGTTTTACTTGCTCCATATAAACTGTAACTACCTACTATTAAAACAAAGTCTTACCTTTCTAACTTTTGTAAACTGAGTATTGTTAAAAAATGCAGTAATCATCTCGGTAATCATATTTTCGTTTACAATGGGTAAAACACTTGATTCAACTTTTATAAATCCAGCTGATTCATATTAATAATAAAATTAAACCAAAACCAGGGCTGGATACCAGCCCTGACCAAAACAAAAAACTAAGGTTAGGTGCTGTCAATTTTAATGTCACTTAGATGTGCGTTCACTTCGACATTCTGTGTGTCGGTTTGTTCGTTGGCTTGGTTTTGTATAACAAAAAAAACTTCGACACAAGATGATTGGTCTATTCCCGATGACGTATAATTTCAAATTTTAAATTTCAATTGGGCTTAATTTAAAAACTTTTGGCTTTTTTAACGAACTGACTATTTAGAATAACTTGTATAGCGACTAACTATTACAATATAATTTATAAAACAGCATATCTCACATGTGAACATGGCCCATTATTAAAAAAATAAAACGCAATTTACAGCTTCTATTTTTTTTTAAACGTAATATCAAATTGTCAAATGTGAAATGTCACTATTCATTGCTTTTTTCGATTTAAAAACCAAAAAAGGCAGTTGCATAATGTTCTACTTTATTCAACTAATTGCATAAAGTAGATCGTTTGACACTTGCTGCCATTACAAAATATGTCACTTTATATGTCAAAATTATAAAAAAAATATTAAAGCACCATGCAAGACTTACTTTCTTGAGCTCGTTCTCTTTCACTGTTAAATAAAAAGGTCCCAAATCTACAAGAGTATAAGTGATCCAAAGCGGTTATCAAAAAATAATCATTAAATTCAAAAGCGTTTGGAAATTGTTGAGTTATCTGCCAAACACAATCTACAAATTGCAGAAAAACTGGCGAACGATCGGCATCTGAATGATGGTCATCACCATGGCCAACTCTCTAAAAAAATAAAATTTTAAAAATTCAATTTTTTTACACAATACCTAAACTTTTACTGATATTTAAAGTTAAAACAGTATTAAACAAATTCATAATATTTATGAAGAAAACATGAAACTTGAAATCAATACCACAAAAATTATTAACTACTAAGAGACAAGTTTCATCCTTATTGGCCCATCTTCAGGTCTATAATACAAATAAGTTACATGATAGAAAAGGATAAGATGATAGAGTTGTAAAATTGAAGTTAAAACACTATAACAAAAGGTTAAAAATGCTTTCCAGTAAGAATCTGAATAGTTTCCTCACCTTTTTTACATTTTGTTACATAAAAAAAAATATTAGTTTTCACCTTTTAAATACCACATATTTAGGACGTAGATGGCTCAGTGATAAGAGTCTAGACTTGTGAATCCAAGGGTCCGCCGTTCGAATCCCACCGTAGGCCGGAATTTTTTTATTCAATTTATTTAAAAATAATTCTGATGCATAGGTAGGATTCCTCACTCCGACCATTCACTGTTGGGTTCTAATTAACAGTGCTGTGCTCTGAGAAACAGTAACAACGCTTGTATGTAGGGGTGCAGGAGTATTAGAGTACTAGCTCTCCTGCACTATGGAGTATTAGACTACTAGTTCTCCATAACCTACATATTTATAACACAAGCCTAATAGCTTAAGTTGACGAAGCCAGAGACACCAATGAAAAAAAAAACACTTGTTTGCAATCCATAAAATTTTAAAATCATTTTCCACCATTTGTAAGTGTTTTTAACTTCAATTTATGTAAATATACAACTCTTCTTAATTTAACTTTTTGGCTACCTATAATTGACAGTTAACCTTACCTGTTGGAATTTATGACCAAAAGATAACCATTCTTTTTCTATCAGAACTTCAAAACCTTTAATAGTCCTATAATATGGGTCAAGTAATAACATAGATAAAGCTGTCAATTGAGCAGTACGATCCCAACCATCAGAACAGTGGACCAAGACAGATGTTTTGTGACTTTCTACCTGTAAATTAAAATTATGTTAATCAAAATATATTCTTTATCGTTATGAATTCTAAAATTTGATGCTTTAATGTAATACCTTATCAACTATTCTCAGTGCTCCTGCCAAAATGCATTTGATGTGTTTCAACCAGTAAGTCGATTCTAGACCAGACAGCCATTTTACTTCATCTATATTAGGATAACATAATTCTTTGAGTTTTCTTAGAGATTCCCTCATTACATGAATATTATGAATGTCCAAGAATACTAATTCTGCATTTTGATATGCATCTTCAGACTCATATCTGAAACATATTAAGAGAAAATATATGTGTTAATAAATGTTTCTTCTTCAGGCAAATAGGTTGCAACTTACCCTCCCCCTTTAGCTTTGTTAGCAATAGCATTAGCGCTAGGTCTGGCGTCCATAATAAATAATTTGTGTGATTGTGCATTTGCATCCATTATTAACTGTACATATCGTTCATCTTCTTTACTTCTTTTTCCACTGACCTACAAATTTATCCTAATTTATCCAAATTGTAAAATTTGTATTTTTTGAAACAATAAATTACTTGCTATACTTTTATTAGCTTCTGTATGCAGTAAACCTGTTAATATTATATTTTGGCTTATAATTATGGTTAAGTAATCGTTTATAAAACTATTTTACGCCGTTTCAATATCTGGAAAATCTTTTCTTTAATAGCAATAAATGAGAAAAAAAATACTTTCAATGTTGCAAAATACAATCATCATTTTATATTTTTTTACACTTGCCAAAATGTAAAGTAAAAAATAGAAAGTATATAAGTACCTACGAAATGAAATTATGTTACTAATAAGAAACAGAAAATTATATTACAATAGTAATTTTTTACCCAATGAGCTGTTATTCAATTTGTTAAAAACTTACAAAAACATTCATTCAAATTCATTAGTTTAGCATATACAATATGTTTCACTAACCATATGGAAAACTTTTATTGGTTTTGTGAAAAAATTTATTCATGATAAAAAGTTATGCATGGTCCAAAACTCAAAATGCAATTATCAGATATAATTTTTTTATGCGGGATACGAGGTTTTTCACTTGTTTGCACGCGTCATGCCAAAGTACGAAAATTACCCGCTTTTGACCCAAATGCCACGGTTTTTAATATTCAAAGCTGTAAATAAAGACATGACCCTTTTTTTTGTTTATGAGTAGGAGCTCGCCAGAAAAAGGAGAACCTCAAGCTGAGGACGTTTTTTTTAGAAGCTTGCCACAAAAAAGAGGACTTGGTTTACGAAAAATACAAGCTGAGGACCTTTTTTTTAGAAATTTCACAAAGGACCTAATTTTATAAAAATGCTTGGATTTTGAACCTGTTCCCCTGTCGTCGCCGTTGTCCCGCTATTCTCTTTCGCAAATATGCCAATCCTGGTTATAATATATAAGGGGCCATTACCAGTGTTTTGCCTGGGGCCCCACCGTGGCTCTCGGCGACCCTGTCATGACACATATTGTTCACTTCACATAAAAATTGTACTGCTCTTTTTTGCAGAAAAAAAAACAGTATTGACTAACTCACAGCTACATCCTCCCAAAAATGCAATTCCATATATTTTAAATGGGACTCAACTAGGACATAACATACAGTTTTAGGTGGTTTAAAAACTATTTCTTTAGCCACAGTTCTGACTGCAGAACATCCAGAAGAAAGTGTTTTGTTTAGCAATTTTATATGGTTCTTACAATTCTAATAATTATTGTCTGAATTAATGCCCAAAATTTTATTGTATTAATCCATTCACTGTTATGACTTTCTGTGTCATTTCTGTGCCATAAAATAGTAGTGTCATCAGCAATTAGAGTGAAAGACTTTCAATGTTAAGTTGAGTTAAGTCATGTAAAGGAATAAAATGGAACTTTGCTTGCATTCTGAAAGGAAATATTTTATCTTCGATTCCGCACGATTGACACAATAATAGTATATTACGTAACAAGAGTTGTAAGTAACCCATTACGCACGAAGTGAAAAATTTCACGAGTGCGTAATGGGCTTACAACTCGTGTAACGTACTATACTTTTTCTACGCCCACTTAAAACATTCTCAAAAAAGGATTTAACATTATGCTTGTGTCACCAATCCATACATTTTTAATAGGAAATTTCGTACTTTTCTTTGGATTTTAGCGGTAACAAATTATGTGTGGCAGCTTAAGCTTTTTCTAAAATCTCTGATGGAGTGCTCTTAATTTCATCACTTTCACTGCTAACATATTAGTAGGTAAAGTTGAGAAAATTTTCAGATTCAATCATATTTTGTTACAAAAATTGACAATATAATTGGCATATTTTTTGAAAAACTGTATAGGTAATATGTTGCCGACATTTAGGGACATCACTCTTTTAATCCAAAATGTATCTCACTAATGCTAAAAGTTTTTATGTTTTTTAAATGACCAAATAAAGTCGTACGTAGACAAAACTTTGATTGCAATTTGATTAAACCAAGAAATTTAAGTTTTCTTATCAAAACGCACGTGTATATTATGAGATCTCATTACGTGCATGTTATTGTTAAATGTCATTTACAAGAAATGTTGATAGTGCGATTTTTAACGTTTACTGACATAGGCGTAGAAAAAACACCTTTATCAAATCACAGAATATCTCCACTACACCCTCGTTTAAATTAACTTTAGAATAAGTAAATTCAAGATAAGAAAATATCGTAATAAAAAAACAGGCGGGCGGAGGAGGCGGTCCAGTCCTGATAATTGATGTGTAATATATGTAATTTTTGTTGTATTTTTTTTCAAAAACTCCGCAATGCGCATGCGTTGTAGTGACGCTAAACATCGCAGACCTGTGTTATTTTTGATTAGGACGGTAGAATCGTGTAACGTTCCACTGGTTTGGAGTTCAGTGAATAATTTGAAGTTCATGTCATTCAGATATATTTCATTCTCAAGCGATGTCAAAGTTTATGAGGCTAATCAATTTTAATAAACGTTCTTCCAACGGGCTGTCAGTCTATTCACAAAAGACTACAAGTGGATAAAAAATAAAAATCTTCAAAGATAATCAAAAAGAATTGGACTAGGTTTAATGACTAGTTCAATTAATCTTAGAATGTAGAATCAAAATCATTTGTGGTGGGAATAATGTTGGCGATGATAAATTGACCACTACCTAATTGAACAGTCCAATTCAGACAAAATATCTAAAATATCCAAAAATATTTTATTTGATTTGTATCATGTTACATATCAGTATTATAGCATTTTCGAAATGCAAGCACTGTCACAGAGTTATTGCACACTAGATGCATCATTATTTTGTTTTCAAATTGCATTTGCTCAACGTTAAATGTTAATAGTCATCAATCAGGTAATTAAAATATTGTTTTAAGATTATGTTTAAATAGAAATGTTTTCATATTTTCTTTAACATTTCAACATTTCCATTATAAGCCTGAGATTTCTCCATTACATTTAAGGAGGTCCTTTCGCCACCAATGTTAAATAAAAAATATTAGATTATGACTAAAATTAATTTTTTTTCTAATAGTTGAAGTCCTTATTTATCTAATAGTGAACTTTTAACTATACCTTACCATGCAAATTTTTGAGAATTTTTTTTTTTTAAATGTGAATATTTGTACAGTGTATTACGAGAAAGTAAGACCTCAACAACAATTCTCGAATTATAATATTATTTATTGATTAGATGGAGTAGAAAAAACTACTAATATTAAAAAATCACAAAAAATGTTCAACTAGGTTACTTGAAATTTTTTTTTAACATTTATTTCTCAATAAATTCCAGGGTAACCTATATATTTTATTGTAAAAAACAAAAGATAAATATCTCGAAAACCTTATTTTTAGTTTTTTTCTAATTCATCTAATCAATAAATAATAGTATAATTCGAGAATTGTTGTTGAGGTCTTACTTTCTCGTAAGACACTGTACAATTAATCACATTTAAAAAAAAATCTCAAAAATTTGCACGGTAAGGTATAGTTAAAAGTTCACTATTAGATAAATAAGGACTTTAACTATTAGAAAAAAATTTATTTTAGTCCTAATCTAATACTTTTTATTTAACATTGGTGGCGAAAGGACCTCCTTAAGTAGATAATTTTGACTTTTGTATATTTTTGACTAATGTATTAATATCTTTCTATTTTGGAAATTACATTTGATTACCAAATAAATCATAATATACTATAGTTTGTTTTTTTAGCTATTTATGGGTCTATCTCACAGGAATGTAAAAAAGAAAATATAAATGGTAGTATTTGTAAACGTAGTGTGATTAATTACTTGAATATTAAAGAAGCAATGTTAAATACTTAAAGATTAACACATTTCCAAAAAAAAATATATTGAAACTACATAGCTTGGAATCTGAATAACTAAGGTTTTGATTATATATCTGCATATTTATTAAATGAATAATGACTCTTAATTTTATACAAGATATAGGACTCCTATTTTGGAAACTTACACCAACAAGGGGTTGTGAACATCTAGTAATTGTAGCCTGTGATTCTGGATGAATCCAACTTAGAACAGGTATCCTTCCTCTACTTCTAAAACTAGCTACAGCCTTTATGTCATCATCAGTCACTTGAGAGGGTATTGCCCAAACAGCAGGATAACTATCACAAATTTCATAGTGTTCATTTATTTTTGAAATTTTCCACATGTCATTATTTACCCCCTAAAAGAATATAACTTAGAATATGTATAATTAATTTTGGAAATGTTAATTGTTTTACCATTCGTTTTAATTCAGCTATAGGTTCATATACAGCCCAACCATTTTCAGGAAAAATTTCTGTATATTCAAAAGCAAATAAGTTCATTTTATGTGACAGTGGAAAAGCATACATTTGCAATTTTTCAAACACATTCCTTCTAGAATGGTTTTCTTGCTTATGTGCAAATCTAAGATTACGCATGTCCTTGCAAAAAACTTCTATGCCATAAGCATTTTCTCCTCTTGATGAAGCACCACCAACTTTTTCAATTCTAGAAACCTAAAGAAAAGAAATACCAATCAATAATTTATATTTTTACTGTGGGAATGCAGATGTAGTAAAATATGATAATTTGAGAACTTTATCTAGTCCAGGTTTCTTTTTTATTTATATGTCTAAGTTTATGAAATAAAGAGTAACAATGGCTGAATTTCTGGGATTACATCCTTTAAACCAATACTTCAAGAAGGTTACTGATTAAATGATTCTATTATTTAAATATAATTTTTCAAGGAATTTAGAGCAAAAATTTAATTAAAAAAAATAAATATACCACTCCTAGAGGTACTTCAACAATATTTGGCATATCTTTGTCTCCAGATTTAAAAAATAACTTATAGTTAGTGACTGTAAGTATCCCTCTAGCAGGTCCATGATAAGGACACAAATAAGTCACATCTCTGGCTTGCCCTGTAACTTTTTCTCCAGGCAATACTGGAGGGTCATCTGGTCGATTGGAAATACCAGTTTCATTAGAAACCTTAAAAAAGTGTTATTAAAAAAAGATAGTTTCAATTTTAAAATATACTTTTTTGCGCTCTAAAGTCGACACTACATTTTCAGTGGATGTAGAACTAGATGAACAATAGCTTTTGCTTGGTGAAGTTTTGCCCCAAGTTGTCTAAAAATAGATATAAACTAATTTAAAACAGTAATTAAAGGTGTTAGTCACTTACCGAATCTTGTTTGTTCAATAAATTTGATTTGGAATCACTTCTGTAACCGTCTAATGGTATAGGTTTGTTGAAAGTACTATTCTCAATGTCGAGAAGTTCTATACTGCCAGTTTTTCTATTCATTTTTTCTGAAATATTAAAAAATATCAGGAACCACTAAAAACAAAATAACCTATTTGTCATTTTCGTCCATGACAATACATGACAGATGGCAGACAAGTCAATTGTGACATTGACATTTATTAAGGTTGTTTCTTCTCTTTGCTCGACTTTTCGAGGACAACTAGCCACAAGACGAGACTTGCATTGGGATTCTCATCTTTTAATACGGCACGTGTCGAGACGACTATCTTCGTTCCACAGAATGCGATTTGTATATGTCTCTCTCTATTCGATTCGTGTCGAGTACGCACAGTGGGACGGTTTACGTGTATGTAGTACCTTTTATTTTTCGATATGTGGTAGTACTATATTCCTCCATGCAGTGCAGTCACATACTTTGATTTTCTTTTACTATTGGCGATTCAAATTAATTTTCGCGCGCCTGTCATTTGTCATCTATAAGTAGGATGTTTGTTTATTTACATGTTTTTGTTTTGGACGGATTTTGTATTTGTGATTTTTTTAACTGTTTTTAGATAATATTCTCATTGTAATAGTGTTTTTGAGTTTCATTTAGTGTTAATTTAAGTTTAAGTCTCGTGCTTTCGTCATAAATATAATATTTATCATGTGTATGACTTAATTTGTTGGAAATATTTACCTATTGGTTACTACAAGAACATCTAGAAATATGTATTCACTAAACCCAGGACATGTTGTATTATGTGGTTTAAAGGACATTTCAGGTACCACACGTTTATTATTGATGAACTTATTTAAAAATCTTACTAGACTTATTCTTATATTATGAAGTGAATCACGTAGTACTTTGTATACATGTAAATGGTAATAAAACCGTCAAAAAATAAGATTTCAGTTTGATTCTAAACAAAGTTTCGTAAAATTTCAATATTGTGAATTTGTAGATATCCATTTATCGTAAAAAACAAAATTTTACGACTTGTACTTGGAAAATAATGAATCTTCAGTTTTGATTTTGACATTAACACCATATAGATTGCAATTTTCTGGGGACTTCGTCACAGATTTCATTTTTAATATAAACACTATCACATGCTATAAGAAAAAAACAAATTTAAAGCTAAAAAGTAAAAAAAAACTCTATTTGTAATTGATACAAATTAAAATGTAAACAATGAACATGAACGCCAATGTTGCCAAATGATGAACTGATTTTAAAACAAAATTAATAAATGAACTGAAATTTAAAAAAAATCAATATAATAAATCGGTTTTAGAAAAAAATCCTTAAATAAATATAGATTATCATAACATACACAAATTTTGATTCTTAAATAAAAGGTTTTATCCACTTCTTCCAGAGCTAAAATCCGACGACGTAGCGAAGTTTTGCTACTTCTGGCAACACTGAACGATATCCTACTTATTCGGACCTTCTACAAATTTCCTCCAGAGGGCGTATCACTTAGCTTGAATCGCGAATACGGAGAATGGTCGCACTGCGCAGCTTTCTGAGTGCCTTTTAAAAGGAGATAGAAAACTCCGCCATTTTGAACCCTTATTACGTGTTGCCTACATCTTGGCGCAATATGTTTAATAGGTGCGTTTTAATCATCCGCTTCTGCTTCGGAATTGTCGGTTTTCTTGTTTTAATCTGACAGGTTAAAACGACTAAACCGACAATTCCGGAAGCAGAAGCGGATGATTAAAACGCACCTGATATTTTGCTTGCTGCTGTCAGTGTCATTCACATACTTTGATTTGGGTGCAGTACATTCCTATGAAAGCCTTATGAAACTTGTTTGTATGTTTGTAAAACATACTGAAGAGCTACAAAATTTATTATGTGATGTTTTACCGCCGATCAGGCAAACCGTTTAGCCAGGCGCCTACCTAGGGATGCCAGATTTACGAAAGGGAAAAGCGGGACAACGGCGACGGCAGGGAACAGGTTAAAAAACCAAATATTTTTATAAAATCTGATCCTTTTTTTGTGAAATTTCTAAAGAAAAGGTCCACAGCTTCTTCTAGTGAGCTTCTAAAAAAAGGTCCTCCAGGTCATCAGCTCCTTCCGGCAAGCTTCTTAAAGAAAAGGTCCTCAGTTTATATTTTTATAAACTAATATAGGTTCTCCTTTTTCTGAGGAGCTTTTGAAAGATAGGTTTCACCTCTTCAAAAAATTATTTATTTATGACTTTGGAAATAAAAAAGCGTGGCATTTAGGTCAAAAGCGGGACATTTTCGTACTTTGGCGTGACGCGTGCAAGCAAGTGAAAAAGTGAAGTTCGAGAAATTTTCAGACATGGTGCCAACACATGTAGACCGTCAGATAGTGACCGATTTAGTTGCCTCATTTTCGCATACAAGCCTCGAAGAGGGTTGAAAAGTAAATCAATGTTGAGTAGACAAAATGCACTTATACATTCAGGTCAATCAAGAAAATATATTTTTCGGACTAGTGACGATGTACGTTTTCATACATTCGATCGGCTTGTGTGAAAAAATCTGGTAAAATCTCGATTTTTCCTTAGAAGATTACGCCCTTATTTCATCCTTTACCCACTTGCAACATTAAAGCCTTTGGTTTTCCGAAGCCTAGTTCTATTAATTAATCATATAGTGAAAACGGCTTGCGCTGAAATATGGGCAGCAAATAACCTTTCATTTTTGCTGGAGAAAATCGAATTTTCCATGTGTTATCCCCAGGAGCCACTAGTAAATTTACTTTCATTCTACTTAAAATCGATGTACTTTTCAACCATCTCGAGGCTTATATGCGAAAATGGGGCACCTAAACCTGTCACTATCTGACGGTCTCATGGTCTAGTCAAATTAAGAGCATCGAAAGTCTTCGGGACAGGTCTGGAACGGTACAACTAAATAGCTGAACTTTGTCGATTTAAGTTATTTAGTTTATAGCGAGGGGTCGATGTGTAAAGCTAAATTGTATTCTTTGTATTTCATCGTCACGGAGCCCATCAACAAATGCTTGGACAGCCAAACATTCAGTCATATATTCTGGAGCTGATGGGTAGGCTAATCACACCATTTTCAATATCTAATTCATATTCTTTCAGGCTCTCGTCTCGTTTTTGTTTATTATTCTTTAACTGTAATCGGTACACCTGTTCCAAGTGTTTGTAACCAAATAGCATGTTTAATCTCTTTTTTAAAAGTGATCCGTTTTTTCGACAGGTATAGTCTGGGAACATCTAAATAGTAAAGCATTTCATCGAAGGCGAAGGTCAGGTTTATTCTCTTTTAGACCATTCATTCGCTCTCGCAGCTGTTTCAAACTGTTTTATGTAACCGGTCCACGAGATTTTCCCGTCAAAAGTTGGAACTTAAACACGAGCTTAAACTCGATCAGAACTTGGAATTCCTTCCAATTTTGATTTTGACTCCACCATATTGCACTTTGTTTAGTCGTCCTTGGTCCTTGGTCTCTTCTACATAACTTACCTTTTGGTTCTTTCCAATTCCTCTATTTTCTTTTCCATCTATTTTATTTTCTCTTGAAGGGAAGAAATTTCATTTCTTATAGAAGATATATCAGAGGAGACTTTAATTTCGTTCTTCACAGAAGGCATATCAAAAGAAATTTCTTTCTTCATGGAAAAGATATCAGAGAAAACTTTATTTTCCAATAAATAAATTATAGCAGAAGATGTATCGTCTGAAAATAGATACGTTTCCGGATCCAAACACTCACTTTCTAGTGCTTGTTTAAGTCGCTTTGCTAACTCTGCCTTCTTTCTTGTCGTCTTTAACTATCTTCTAGTTCCCGACGTAACTCCCTCACTTTTAAATCACTCAGTTTTTAGCTATTTTTACTCACTATTTATTTACAGTACCCAACACCTGACATCAATGTAACGTTTATGAACATTCCAGACATGCGATAGAAAATTCTGGTGGATTCGAGCATCGCATAAAGTGGCAATCATAAATCTAATATTCTACTGTCAAAGTCGACCTTTTCACCACAGTTATAACATTAAATAGGGTTTCGAGGGTCGACCTATTTTCTTTGAATATATTTGGTAATCGAACAAGTGGGGCCGTAAGAGGCTGAATCAAGACAGAGAGCCTATTTCACCTATTATATGAGGGGACATAACTCCTCGCCTGGGAAATATGTGGAACAGACTAGCCATCTTCTTCCTCTGTCTGCGTAGTGAGGAGAGCTATAACAATATCAGCGGTGCAGAGAACCGGTATTAGTACACAATTTATCATATTGTATAAGATACATGCACCAGATATTTGGTTGGGTCCTGCTATCCTCCCGCCATGTAACCAGGCGGGTTCTTGTAAGAGGGCAAAGTCTAGATCTTCTTTGCCAAACCTCCTACATACTGTAGAGTGTGGCCGTCTTGACATGTTGGAGGTTCACCAGAATAAACCTGATAAATCTGCTCACTTTTGTGAACTGGGTAGTTTGTCTGTCTTCTTCAAGGCCGCTCCCATCTCCATTTGTACAGTCTCCTCTTTGACTTCGTGCCTCTTGAGGGGACTGACCCCATTGTGGGAAGACTCCACCTCGTCGTTCTCTATAAGGGTTTCCTCCTCTGCTCGTGCTGGGTTTATTTATCTTTTCGGGAGGCTCTTGGTCATGTCCTCCTTTGACTCTAAATTTTAATGTCCCTATGCCATAGTAAGGAGACATATCCAGATTTTTTAGCCCCTCTAAGGATCAGAATCCATCGAGAAAGCAAACGTTTGACCTTCTTCAGATGGGGTTTTACCTCACACCGTCCAAAGTTGTGTATTTAGCCCATGGTTGGCGGTTTTTAGTATTTTAAGGATTTTTCCCCCTTGGTTTTATTTCGTTAGGGCCGAATGTTCAGGGTCGCCCCTTTGCAGGGTTGGATGGTTGTGACGATGTCCGGCAACCAAACTGCACTGGCGAAGCCTGCGCAAGTCACTACCAGGTAGCCTGGCTAGTGGCTGCAATTCGCGAACATCACCTTTGGAGCATTTTGCCTTTGTTGGCAACTTCTTGCCCCTTGGTTTTTTGATATTCGAGCATCTGTGGCTTTTGTGACCTTTCTTGAGCTCTTTGAAAATTTTCCTCAATTACCTATCTTTTGCAGTTGTGTAATTAGGGCCAGTTTTCAAACGCTCCTTTAGCCTTGTTCTGAAATG